TTTGCATTTCCATAAGTGGGGTAAAACTATGGAATAATTTAAGTGTGGACTTAAAAAATAGTAATAGAATTGACGAGTTTAAACGTAAATATAAAGGAGTGTGTTAATCAAGATATATGCAAGAACAGGCTCAATGATTATATTTTGTAAACCATTCTTTAGTATATCAATTGTGTGATTTAAAAATGTTAACACTGTTATATTCTTTTTTAGTATAATGTGTGTGTGTGCAGAAGTGAATCATTTATTGCTTGCAAACCAATGATGGTAAGATGATGTCATGGGGTAGGACTGGATAAGTCTGACTTCTTCCTACTCCATTCAAGCATGTACTAGCTATAAGCAAATTGATATTAAATTATGTGTAAAATTATGTGTGTTGTCATATCAACTGTTTCTACATGCTTGAAAGAATAAATCTTATCAAATCATTTGTCATATTGAATCAGGAAGTAACAAGTGTACTCAGGTATCTTACTTAAGTACAAGTAACAATAGCACAGAAATTATCAATCAGTCTGCCTCAAATACTTTTGAAATGCATACTGTATGTTGTCTAGGTCTGTACAGTCAAGGTTTATCTCACCTTTGTCTTCTTTCTTTACTGCTGCCATAAAAAACACACACTATGGACACTGTGTTTCAGATGCTGCCACTGAAGCTTCCTGTACTGTGACCTCATACCCTACTTTTAACCAACAATATATTTAGTCACAGTGTTGCATATTGTGAGAAATAATGCCCCCCATGAGTCTTGTACTGTCTTGACTAGCTGTAAAATACCAACATTTATGAATGTTTTAGAGAATTTGTTGTCACTTAATGATTTTTTTCTCTATTATTGATTCCAGACTATGAGATAAACACATTCTCATATTGTCAGTATTTCATTAGACCAGTAAAAGCAACAACAGTAATAAAGGCAGTCAGAGCAATTAGATGATTATGTAAAGATGAAAATGAGACATCATTGCCACAGTCACAAACAGCTGTAACTTGGACTCTATCTCCACTGTGTGGCCACATGAGGAAATGATTCATCCTTTTTCACCATACTTTGCTTTTTGAGAACAACTCTGCTTCTCCTGTGCTTTCCCTGCACGCCAAAGCACTGGATCAGCTGCAGTGTAAATGAAGGACCTAATTTCAAGAAATCAAAGAAATGTATAGCAAGAAGGTACATAATAAATAACTGTAGGGTCATTACAGGGGTCCTTGGAGAGGCGACAGTGGTGCGGCGGGTAGAGCAGTCATCTCCCAACTGGAAGTTTGAAGGTTTGAATCTCGGTGTCTGCAGTCCACATGTTGAAGTGTCCTTGGGCAAGACACTGAACCCTGTTGACTGTGATGGTGGCGTGTACGTACGCAGCAGCCCGGGGCCCTCGGCTCCAAACGTAATTTCATTGTATGTGTCACAATAAATAAAGCTTCTTATCACATTATATATTTCTAGACCACTCAATGTGACTGAAATCAGCACAATAGGGTATACTGTCCCAGACCTGAACTTTCTTTAATGCAGTAGAATTCAAGTTGATGAAATCTCACCTCAGGGCAATTTTGGTAGCTGCTTTGGAGCTTTCCATCAGATCACTTGGCCCCCCTGAATATCTCCTTTGCAAAGGTAAT